TGAAACCCTAAATTCCCGGGGTTGGGGACTATTTAAGAGAACTTATACTCCCATTTGCGCCTTACCAGCTGCCCAACTTCACTGAGAGAAACCCTAATCGGCCATTGAGCTAAGAGAGAGTGTTTGAGTTAATTTTTGAGTATTTTGGTGAATCTTTTGGAAGGAAAGAAGGGTGATATAAGCAGGGGACAAGGAGATACTGTGGGATCTAGCGATTCGTTCACTTAGAACTTCTGTGAAAGGTAAAAGCTTGCACCTTTCTCATTTATTTAGTTAGATCTCTTGAGTATGGAAGTTAGGGCTTTAACCACCCTTGGTTGGGATAATGAGTGCATGGAGTCTATTAAGAGGTCTAGACTTCAGATCTGGACCTTGTGAGGTCCCTTGAGTCTAAAGGTCCCAACTTTATTTAGCCAAAAGAGGGTTTTTGTGCTTAACACCTTGTGAGAGCATGTAGTTGGTAATATGGAGCAAATATGTCATGCATGAACGTAAAGATCGAAGCTTTACGTGATAACCAAGTCCTGGGTTGCTAGATCTATTGTTTGGAGTGGTAGATCTGCTTTGAAACGTCTGAATGAGAAATCAGATTTAAGGGACTCGCCGAGTCCATGAGCTGACTCGACGAGTCGGTTGGGGATTGTCCCGATGAACTTGATCATGCGATAACTCGGCGAGTTGGAGGGTCAACTCGACGAGTTAAGCTGGACTGTCATGAGACTTCTGAGGAAACGAGGGTACTCGACGAGTTGCATATATGCACTCGAAGAGTTGGGATCAACATGGGATGTTGACTCGAGTTTGACTTCTGTTGACATTAGGGTTTGGTCAAATATAGGTAATTGAGACCATGGAGGGGTAAAATGGTCTTTTAACCATTCCAAGAGCTGGAGAGAGAAAGAATAACCTTTGATTATTTAGAGTTGTGAATATAGTATTAATTAGAGATATTTATCCTATGTGATAGGCGGAGGCAAATTTGAGATTCGTGTACGATGTTATTCATTTGCTTGCTTACGAGGCGAGTCTTCTCACTATACATATCTGAGTAGTAGTTACTGTGTGACCAGAAGGTCTTCATAGAGATACTGGACCGAAGGGTTCAACCTGAGCTGTGGGACTAGAGGGTCCTCATTATTGACCGGAGGGTCTCATTTCTTATGCTGTGATATGCGTTATAGTGCATATTGTCTTTGTGACTTATGTTGTTATGTTATTCAGTGTATATGTTGATTATATATGCTTATGTTGAACTATGTGATATGTTATGCATTATGCCTTGAGATTATGCTATGCTTTGTGATTATGTTATGCCTTGTGATTATGCTATGATTGCTGAGTTAGGACCGGAGGGTCCACTCGAGTTGTGGGACCGGAAGGTCTCCACTGAGATACATTGATCAGAGGGTCTTATTTGAGATGTGCGTGGTATTTTAGGGAACTCACTAAGCTTCGTGCTTACCGTGTTCTGTGATATGTGTTTCAGGTTTTCTCAGGATCACGGGAAGGCACCGACTTGATTGTACACACCAGAGAAAGAGTTATGTTTTGAGGATCCTGGATTATTAATCAAACAATTATGGAGTTGCGTTTTGTAAATTAAACCAATGAGATTTTTATGAAATCTGTTATGAGAATTATGTGATTTTAAAATGAAAATTTTGTTTGAAAATTTACGGTGTTACAAGTGCAGGCAATGAGTGTATGTTTTGGGATCATAAGTCGACATTGGTTTATACTCTTGTAAAGGGTCCTTTGTGGTAAGTGGTCATGATTGGGAAATTCTGGAGGATCATCCTGTGTGTATTATTCATTTCCAGGGTCAGGGGCTGGTTGTACCTGGTTGAGCCGGGTGAGTTATTGGTTGGTTTCACCACCAATGGGTGGTAGTTCGAACCCTAAGTGGGGGAGAATTAGGTATTCTTCTTGAAGGGTCTTCGATCTGTTCGGGTCAGTGGTAATGAGGAATGGTTTTAGGGATCCGTGGTGCGAGTATGTGGAAACTCGGTTCAGGAGTGATCAAGGAGCTCGTTGTAGATATTGATTCCTATTAGGGATTCCAATGAATAGATAAGAACCGATGGGATTACTCAGGTTGAGTATTGGTGGTGGAGGAAAAAAAATTGTCAGCTGGGGATAAAGATTTCTAATTATAGTCTAGTTTGGGGTAAGGATTGACCAAGGAATCAGTTTCGGAATTTGGTGTATTCAGCCCCGCAAGGGTTTTGGTTCTTTCGATTTTATGACGTATGTTCGCGGTCATTGGTCGCATCACTGTCATTCAGCAAAGGGTCCTTGAAGGTTTGGGGTATGACAGTTGAAGTTCTCTGGATGTGTCATCTTATCATCAGGTTTAGTATGTTTTAGGCTCCTTTAGTCTCTGGGTATGCTTACCAACTCTAGAAGTGTGGAATTTTGGTTCATAACAGTCTTGGGTTGGGTGGCAATTAGAGTCGTTTCAAAAACCTCCTCGAGTCGGGTGCATGTTGGTGGAACCTGTTGAGTCTCAATCAAGTGTGGAATCTTGTTTTGATCGATCATGAGGATATCTTCTGTGAAGATTGAGGTTCGTTGTTTGATAGAACCTTGATGTTTCTGCCCTTTTTGGATGAGGTTATGGGTTCAGCGGGAGAGGTATTGTGGAAATTCATTGTGTGTATGTGGGCTAGACCAGATAACATTGGGTCTTGGATCGAATTATTTGCTTGGTGGTGATAGCCTTGAAATTGGATCAAGGGTACAATCGGTTATCCTATTCTTGGATTGAGTGTGACCATGATTTCGTTGAGTTTTGCATTGGTAGCAGCTTGTTCTGTGAAGGAATTGGGTGCGGCATAGTTATGGATCTGTTATGCTCGGTTAATGTTGAAGGGACGTTTTTTAGGTCCCTACAAGGCAGTGGAAAGAGGTTGCGAGCCTGTTGGCCCGGGATGTGGGTCGTGAGTGCCAGGCGGAATATGTAATGTCGGCAAGATCGACGTGATAGTGGGAGCATTCCAGTCATGGGTTGTGGGGCCAGTGATCATGATTGTTGATTTCATCTTAGTATGGTACTTTCGGTATTGATGCATTAATGGAAGTCGGGAGACTCAATCGGCTGGTGCGGATAAAGGGAACAATTAAAGGTGGTTGGAAGTATCGTCCGTGTATCAGAAAGTCTCTCATAAAGTTTGCATTATAATCTTATTGCCCGCAAGTTGTTATGAGGGGTTGATTACCAAGGTGGGGAACCGGCTATGAAGTCTCAAATAAAAGTTCTTCATTAATGTAGCGGGTACTTTGCTTGATGGGGGGGGGGTACATCTGAATTTTTAAGAAATGAAGGTAAATGTGGGATTCCTGGAATTCTCACCCATGCTCGTAGGAGTAGTACGGTACCCCCAAAGTCCTTATTAGTGACAACGGTACTCAATTCGAGGGTAGTTCCTTCAAAGAGTGGTTAGAGGAGAAGCAAATCCATCGACGGTTCACCTCGGTAGCCCATCCCCAGGCCAATGGTCAGACTGAGGTATCAAACAAGATCATCGTCAACAATCTCAAAAAGCGTTTGATGAAATCCAAAGCGGTCTGGGTCGAAGAACTACTAACAATGCTCTGGTCGTATCGCACGACCTCGAGGTCCAGCACCGGAGAAACGCCTGTCAGTTTAACGTACGACAAAGAAGCAGTACTCCCACTCGAAATCATAAGGAGATCTTCACGAGGAACAGAGTTCGATGCGAACACCAATGAAGATGAACTTCGACAGAACCTAGACGTACTCAACGAAAAACATGAAGCTGCCCAGCTCCGCCAGGCAGCCTATAAGGCCCGCACCGAAAACTACTACAACCGACGTCTACGAGTAAAAAACTTCAAGGTGGGAGAATATGTATTGTGCAAGAACGAGTCCAACCATGCACGACCTCAAGTCAAGGTGAGCGTCGTCTGGGAAGGACCGTACAAAGTTGTATAGGGGTACCGGAACGGAGCCTATGTCCTAGAAGCTCAGGACGGGAAACCGGTCCCCCGTACCTGGAATGCGCATAGCTTGCGCCACTTCTACTCTTAGAAGAAAGGGGTAAAACACGATACAATTGGGGAAAGGGTAGCATGATCAAACTCCGGACGAATAATTACACCCCAGAGTAACTAGACCAAGAGTCAGGCCCTAGTTCGCATCATAGTGTAGCTACTTTTTATTCTCATCAGACAATATTGATATTCTACACATGTTCTCAGTAAGGTGATGAAAATTGACCACTATAAAAAAAACTGTTAGAACGATTTTTCACAATTCAAGCTTGATATCATCAGAGCTTGTGCACGTTTACCAAATGGTAACAAGGACTGATCATCCACATCATTTGAGCAAAATTGTTGTAAGAATGAAACCAAAGGCTTCAAAGTCTCACAACCTTTCCCTTAAAACAAACAATACCTAAGTCCTAAAAACCTCGAGGTGACGATCTCGGTTTGACTTAGATGATTAAGTTCATGGTACAACTCCCCAAGGCCCATGACTTAGAGCAAATTCCTAATGGGGTAATCAATAAGCTCTAGCTAAAAACGAATCCCCAACATAATGAGCTAGCTAAAGCTCAAAACCAAAAGCTAACTAAAACGCTTTGGCTTAGAAACACAAGACCACGACCCAAAAGGGGGCATGTCTCAAGTTCCCAGCGCGAGTCCCAAGGACGAACTCATGGAGACTTAGAAAAGTAAGGAATCCGAGGTCGCAGAATGAGCAGATGGATCAATTATCGACCCAATCAAACCCCAGGGCCAACATAAACCTGGGGAAGGGATAACTTAATTAAGAAAAGAAGCGAACACACACACACAGACTGTTGGTCAACACAAACCACCGCAAATGGAGGCAAACCAACCTTCTAAACAGAAGCACAATACCATAAAAACAAAAGATAAATACACATTGTTCACCGAGTATCTCCCGGGCTTACATGAAAGTTATAGACAAGCCAATAACAAAAGAAGATGTAGTTCAAGGAAAAGAAGTGTCAGTTGCCAGAGGAAGCAGAAGAAGGTCCATCTTCCCCTGAAGGACCCATTAGAGGATGTTCCTCCGCTGAAGGATCCAAACAGAGTTGACAAAGTCCCGTCAAGTCTAACTCACCAAAGCGGAGGTACGAGGCGAAATCTATATCTAAGAAAGCCTTTATAGCAGCATGCATCGCCTGCGTTGACTGCGATGTAGCACTCGGCTCCTCCGGATTAAAATCCCCAATAGCCAATTGCTTCCGCACTGCCTGCTTATCATTCTCAATACCCGCGTCCATGCATGCCGCCTTCAGGCGCCGAACCCCAAGTGAAAATTCTTCACTCTCAATGAGTCGTTCAACTACCCGGATCACCCCCTCTTGCAGGATCCAGGCCAAATCCCCCTCCAAGGTTTTCCTCGTCGACGCTTCGGCCGCCAGCTACTCATTTTGTTGCCTAATACGTGCTTCCAGCGCTTCCTTCTCCGCCACCAGATCTCGCACTTGCAGCGATAAATGCTCTACCTCCCCATCCAAGCTAGTTACTTGGTCTTCAGCAACAACTTCTCTCCAACTAAAACAACATAACGCTCCTCGAACTTGTGTCTCTCATCTCCAAGGAGCCACACCTTCTCTCCAAGCGCATCACACTCTGTCTTGACGACAACCAACTCCGCCAGGTCAACACCCAAATAGCAAAGACGACCAACTGCTACCACCAAATATGGAGCAACCTGGGCCGCAACATATTGGAGATCAGTCGCCATATGGGAATGAGAAAAAATCTCCAATGACTCCAAAGTGGTCAGAGGAAACGCATGATGACACCATTCATGTGCGCTGGAAGGTTGCATCAAAAAAGAGACCCGTGAGTAAGATTCCACCCCGGGCGGTATACACCATCACTTTCCATTTGTGTAGACACAACACCATAGATAACACCACCAGGTGGTGGAACCAAACAAGGACTGGAGGCAACATTAGAACCAGCCGCAGGTTTCTTACCAAGATCACTGTCACCTAAATCGACCACATCCCTTGTTCTTTTTCCCGGTTTTTGACGTGGTGCAGTCGTTCATTGGTCCACTCTCTCCGACTGGTACATAGTGTCATCATCAAGAATGTCAATCACATTAGGCGAGCCTCCACGCAAGAAATCAATATTACATTTCTTGTTCAACCGGCCACCAATCGTGTTGGCCCCAACGTCACCCATGAGCGGGGAGTCTACCCGAGTGTGTACCACTTAACTATGGTTTGACTACCACCAACGATTTCTCCCTTCACCGTTCATACTCCGGAAAAGAAAAATGAAAGATTACCACGGGAACCACCTACATCTAAGCTAGAACAACTCAGTTACCCAAGGACAACGATGACGTTTACTAGCCTATGACTTGTTAATGTATCCCTCTAGGAATACGCCAAAGACAACGGGACGATTATCTTAAGGGACGGCCTAGCTAACGGTCGTTACCCGACGTAAGTGCTAGGCCCGGGTCCTCGGCCTTGCAGCCTCGCACTTAGGCCCCAACGTTCTAACGCCAAGGTCCATAACATGCCAAAATAGTACCAACCACTCCCCAGAATGAAAAGTGTATTGCTCATAACGTTGCTTCCCATTGATTCTGCACCAATAGCAGATAACCAATAGTGGAGCACGACCCACCAATAGGACGCCTCCACATCCTAACAGTCCAAACGAGACAAAAGGTGTTGTCAGGGACATGCTCATCCAGGCGACAAGTATAAAAGGACCCTTCTTCTCTAGAAGAAAGGATCGTATCCTTCTCTATCTCAGACTTAACCCTAATTCTCTCCTATAACTACTGACTAGACCGCCATAGTCTCGTTTAGGGACCCCTCCCAGACGAGGACTAACATCGGTTCTTTCTTTGATGTGATTCTCAGGTTTAACTCGGACGAAACCACCATAGAGGGTGTTAAGCTCGAAGACATATCCCAACACTTGTATTCTACTTTTATGCGGCCATAAATTTTGAGTGTATTTTAAAAAAAAAATTATTTTTGTTCTATGGTTTTCTTGTGTTATTCTTTAATTAAAAACGATTTGTTGTATGTGTAATATAGCATTAGTGAAAAAATAATCTATGATTTTCGCATACCCTACTTTATTTTTCTAGAATCAGGGTTCTAAATTTTCTTCTATAAAAATAAAGAAGATTGGGGCAAAATTCATTTTAGTTGAAGTCTACAACATATAGGAATGATATTGGATTGCAAAAGGATGAAACTACAACATGTGTCGATGCCTTAGACCATCTCCAACCCTTAACACTATTCTTTTACACTATACCTATAATTATAGTGTAAAAAACAGTGTATACACTAAAGTTCTCCAATCCATTACACTATATTTAACATTAAAAAAAATATTCCAGGTATATTGTTCTTTATTCAACACTATATTTAGTGTTATACTAAAATTCAACATTATATATAGTGTTACATTAAAATTTAACATTATATATAGTGTTAGGTATAGTGTAGGATTGAAGTATTATAATGTAATTTATGGTATAAAAATGATTTTTTAGTGTAGGGTTCGAGATGCCCTTAAAAACGTATGATCTTCTTTTTTTCTTAGTCTTCCTTTTAACAAATATGAGCATTTTGTGTCCGCGCAAACAAATACATCGCTGTCACTGCTAGTTTTCATAGGTTATTCATCTATATTTTGAATATGGTATCATTAAAGAGACAATTGAATGACTCATTCAACCATATTTCAACTTCTGGTTGTAAGTTGATTGTTTTTCTTGTGGACAAGAGACTATAAATGAGTTAATTATGGAAATATAAATGTACAAAAAGAAAAACATCAGACCCCATATGTTTGTTTAAAATTGCTTATTCTAGTAAAAAGTGTTATTTCTTATTCTCAAGTATCATGTTTTAAAAAATTATTTTGTGAAAAAATGAGGGACTGATTTTAAACAAGATAGCTTTTTGATGTATGTAAACATCATTCGTGAAAAGATGCCAACATAACATGTATTTTCAAGAATGATGTTATTGTATGTACCCCATAATTCATAGAATTTCTCCATGCACTTCTCTATTTTGTTTTTTTATTGTCTTTAAAACCCTTTTGTATTAGACATATTTTATCTTTTTGTTGTTTTTTTTGTTTTGTCTTATTATTATTATTATTATTATTATTATAATACTTATTATTATTATTTTCAAAAAGTTGATTTGATTGGATTTATCTTTAATAATCTAAATGAAAAAAAAAATAACACAATGATAGTATGAATGAAAAAAATAATAATATATGAATAGTCTTAATGAAAAAATAACACAAATATAGTATGAATGAAAAAAATAATAATATATAAATAGTCCGAACGGAAAAATAACACAAAGATAGTTGAAACGGAAAAACAATACATGGATTGTCAGAACCAAAAAAAATAACACACTGATAGTCTAAATGAAAATAAAAATAACACAAAAATTATCGTAATGAAAAAAATATATTTTTAATGTAATAATAATAATATTTATTTATTAAAAATAATGAAAATAAAAAAAATAACAAAAATAAATAAAAAAACATAAGGATAGTCAAAACAAAAAAAAATTATATATTTATTACAAATATTAAAAAAAAAAAGTTGAAAGGGGAAGGGTTCGTAAAAAAACTCATTCTAGAATTGATGAACTTGAAGAAATGCCAACATATAAGACAAAAAGAATTTAAATTTCATATTTTTTTTAGTAAACAAGGTAATCTCTTGTATGACCAAGCAAAGGTCTTTTCTTCTCTACCTAATTCCAAAGTTTCCAAACAAAAGCATCACCTTCACATTACATCACCAACTGTCTTCTTAATATGCATTCTCTAGGTTATTCGTTAGATCTCATCGAAGTTTCTTTGCAATTATTTCTTATACATTTCCCACAGCAAAAATTTTAGTTTAATTATACATTACTTCAAGCATATACCTTCAAATCAATGGCATGTTCCTCCACTTCATCCATTCACAAGAGCTTTAAATATGATGTGTTTTTGAGTTTTAGGGGTGAAGATACCCGTAAGAATTTCGTTCATCATCTTTATTCTGCTCTTCAGCAGAAAGGCATTCACATGTACAAGGACGACGAGAGAATCGATAAAGGGAAAAGGATCAGTGATGAGCTCATGGGATCCATCGAAGACTCAAAGTTCTTTATCATTGTCTTGTCCAAGAACTATGCATCTTCATCTTGGTGTTTGAATGAGCTTCTAAAGATAATGGAGTGTCACAAGACAACCACACATATTGTTTACCCCGTCTTCTATTATGTGGAACCCTCTGAAGTCCGCAATCAAATCGGGGAAGTTGGAGAAGCCTTTGCCAAACATGAAAATGAAGAGGCTGCTGGGAAATGGAGAAAGGCTTTGAAAGAAGCAGCTGATGTGGCCGGTTGGGAGTTGAAGAACACTGCTGATGGGTAATTCCTTCATCATCTCTCTACAATATTGTTTCATTTAATTTCTTTATTTCTAATCTGAGCTTACCTAGGATGTATAAGGCTCGGACATGGCCTATCATGTTGGATTTCCAAATCTTAACTATGCTCATGAGTCTTGTCGAAAGATTAAATATGAAATATGATTAAACATGAAATATAAGTTTGTATTTTAATTTATAGATCTGAAAGTAATTGTTTTTGTAGGATTTTGAGTAGGCTAACTGAATTTTCTCTAAAATGCAGGCATGAAGCTAAAGTCATTCAACAAATTGTTGAAAAGCTTTCACTAGAGTTGCGTTCCATTAATGGCCGCATTGATGAAAACTTAGTAGGCATGAAGGACCGCATCAACAATATTGTATCATCATTAGGAACTGCTCCCGATGATGTTATCATGATTGGGATCTGGGGGATAGGAGGTGGTGGGAAGACAACACTGGCCAGAGCTATTTTTAATACAATATCTTTTCAGTTCGAAGGTAAAAGCTTCATTGAGAATGTCAGGGAAGTTTCGAACGCTTCCTTGTCCGGTTTAAAGTCGTTGCAAAAGCAAATTCTTTCAGATGTCTTGAATGATCAAGGCATCAACGTAAGTAGTGAAAATGAGGGGGAAAACATGATGTGGAGGATGATGCGTGGTAGAAAGGTTCTTCTTGTTCTGGATGATGTGGATTGTATGGAACAGCTTGAGGCGTTAGCCGGTGACCCTAGTTGGTTTAAACCGGGAAGTATAATTATCATTACAACAAGAGATGAGCAAGTGCTAGTAGCACATGGAGTAAAGTTTATTCATAATGTCAATCTGTTATCAGATAAGGAAGGAATTTGCCTCTTCAATAGGTATGCATTTGGGAGAGAGATTCCCGTTCAAGGGTATGAAGAGCTATCAAGACAAGTTCTACGTTATGCTGCTGGTCTTCCCTTGACCATCAAAGTTTTGGGTTCTTTTCTTTGTGGTAAAAGTAAGCTTGAATGGGTAGATGCCTTGGCTAGACTTAAAAGAATTCCGTTAGAGGAAACTCAAAAAAAGTTGGAATTAAGCTATACCGGTTTAAGTGAAGATTACAAGGAAATATTTCTAGATGTTGCAACCATACTGAAAGGTTGGCCGAAAGACTTAGTAATCAAAGCACTTGAAAGCTGTGGATTTCATGCTAGAATTTGTTTAAGGGTTCTTGAGCAAAAATCTCTTATTACTATTAATGATAAATCTGATGTTGGTGAGTGTGTAGGCATGCATGACCATATTGAAGAAATGGGCAGGAATATTGTTCGTCGTTCCCACCCGGATATGCCTTACAAACATAGCCGATTGTGGATTGATGACGAGATTGAAGATATATTGGCTAATGACTTGGTAAGGATCATGTTTATTTGTATAAGTTGGAGAAAGTAACACATTTTCATTTGTTATGAAAAAAGTTTCATGGCAATTGCTTTTTGGTTACAGGGTACTAAAGCAACAAGATGTATAAAATTTTACAAGGAGAGACTCAATCCGGAAATTGTTATGAAAGGTCTTAGAAAGATGAAAGAACTTCGGTATCTTTATGTGGCTCAGCAAAGTCTTTACTCGAATAGGGCTAAACGGAACCCAAATTGTCTAAATGATTTTGGTGTATTGTGTTGTAATAAAGTCAGTCCATACTTCCCAGATGCTTTACAATATCTGCATTGGAACAATTACCCTTTTGGGTCTTTACCCAAAACATTTCAAGCAAATAATCTTGTTGCACTTGAGATGATCAACAGCAAGATCGTGCAATTTTGGGAAGGGGGAGAAAGAAAGGTTAGAATTGTGGTTGATTAATTGTTTTATATAATTCACTATAATGCTGTCCATTGCTTTGCTATATCACACCAATATTCATTATTTTGTAATATTGCTTATGTTAGGCTCTCAAAAAGCTCAGATTCCTAGGCCTCAGTGGTCCAAAGTTGAGGACCTTTGACCTTGGGCTAACTCCAAATCTCGAGACATTGACTCTTGGAGGACTAGGTGATTTGGTAGAACTTAAAATTCCCGTTGAATGTCCAAAACTCAGATCCCTCAAACTTTATTGTGCAAAGTTAAGGCCGTTTGACCTTTGGCTGACTCCAAATCTCGAGGAGTTGTTTCTTGAAGGTGGTGATATGGTAGAATTTCACATGCCCCCGAGGTGTCTAAATCTCACATCCCTTAATCTCAAATATTTAAAGCTGAGGACACTTGACATTGGGCTGACTCCAAATCTTGAGAATTTATCTGTTATGCATTGCTATGATTTGGAAGAAATTCACATGGCCAATGAATGTGTAAAGCTCAGATCTGTCTACCTTGAAGGTCCAAAGCTGAGGACCGTTGACCTTGGGCCGACTCCAAATCTTAAGAGATTGGATCTTCATGGAAGCAACGATTTGGAAGAACTTCACATTCCCGAATGCCCAATACTCACACACATCAACATGAGCTATTCAAAGTTGAGAATCATTGACCTCAGGCTGGTTCCTAATCTCAATATGTTGTTTCTTGTAAGATGCAAAGATTTGGTAGAACTTCACCTAGCCGATGAATGTCAAGAGCTTGAATCCCTCACCGTTATGCATTCAAAGTTGAGGACCCTTGACCTTGGGCTGACTCCAAATATCAAGATGTTGAATCTTGAAGGGTCATATAACTTGTTAGAACTTCACGCTCCCATTGGATGTCTTAAAAATCTTGTCCTCTTAGACTTAAGTGGCTGTTTGGGGTTTAGATCATTTTCGTTTCGCTTAAATGATAATACATCTGGTATAGTGAACAAATCACTTGAGGTTCGTCCTTTAGCTGAGTTACATTTCACCCTAAAAACCTGCCCATTTCACCAAGACAATAATCTGCTGCAGTTTGAGTTTACATGTTTTCATGAAGACGATATACCTTCATTGATTAGAAGTCTCGAGAAGCTTATTTCTGGAGGTGCGTGTGCTTGCACAAAACTTCCGAGGTTTTCAAGAAGCATTGGAAGGTTACGACGTTAAAGAAAGCTTAATTAAAGTACTCAAAGGCGGTATTCCATAGGTACCCAAGAGGAGCTAAGTTTATTGTCTACATCTTCCAGATAGAATTTGCATTTTGAAACATCTGAAATCTCTGAAACCTAATTAAGTCTTGTTGGCTTTTTGAGAATTTACCCAAGGAGATTTGCTGATTTGAGATGTTTAGAGCAGCAAATATTTTTTTTTTATGTTGGAACATGTCCAGAGGGCTTATTCAGTCGCAAGATCTTACATCCACAGCAAGCACCGACAACTGGAGCTGTTCTACTAGGTAATTTCTCGGTTTTTTTGTTAATCATCTTATTTCAGTTTGAATATCGAAATTGATATGGCAATATTTATATTTTCAGTGAATAATCAACAATTATTTTGACAAAATTCAAGTACTATGGATGTTTTCGAGCTAGTAACTATATGCAAGTATGTTACAGGTGACTATTGATACTGCTACTCCATCCAACAAGGCATCTGAAGAAGCTGTTTCTTAGCCACATCCTCCTGCTATTAAGAAGGTTAAAGAGAAGCCAATGCCAAAAGTCAATACTACCCTATCATTGAGGAGCCTAACCCAGCCTATCTACCGCCTCCTAGAACCTCTGCTTTAGAACCCCAGCTTCTTATAGAAAGAAAAGGATGTATGAATCACCTATTTTATAGTTTCTACTAAAGCTATTAATATTAATCGAATACAATCAATGTTTAAAGTTTAAACCCTCTAATCCACATTTAAAGCTGTCAAATATTTGTTTTGTTGCTTTCCTCTGTGGTTATATTATCAAAATAATCCATGCTCTATGGTGTTTTTTTTTTTTTTTTTTTTTTTTTTGTTATTTTCTTGTTTCTACATTAAACCTCACCTAGGGGTTTAAGTTATGTTTGATTTGGTGGTGTATGTTTAATGTATTGCTTCGAGTTGCTACACGGTCTTAATGATTCTTAGAACACATTTGATTTGTTAGCTACACTCAATAAAGTTTATAACTCTTTATTCAAGGTTTCAACATTTAAGAGTGCTCTCTTGACTGGTAGAGGTACAATAATTAAGAAAATATAGATCTGAAAATTAACAGGTCTCCCTGAATCAATGAAGAACAGACAACGAGCCAGCTTCTAGTAATAGAGTGAGAGTATAGGGATGATAATAATTTCGGATAGAATTTGTTTCTTCATTCAATGAATTTATGAATATTCCCCAAGTACATGTCAGAATCATCATGCCACGTCTGTTCCATGTCAGTATGTTAAAGGAATCTAGATTATTCCGGTGGATGGATAATCACAGATATATTATATTTATCTCTTTGTATTTATCTTTTGTTATCTTTTGCTGAATCTCAAGATATATATATCATGTTTTGCCTTGTATTCAGAGGATTTTATTACGTATTGAATAAAAAAACGAAACATTGCATGAACTCAGAGTTAGATCTTTTATGGTATCAGAGCGTGTGATCCGTTAGGTCAATCAAGTTAACGACGATCATGACGGGGGAGAAAGGAGACGGAAGCAAGAAGGACGGAGATGTCATCGATGCCAATTCACCCTTCTACATCTACCCGTCCGGCTACCCGAAACAGATGCAAGTTAACGACCTATTGAACGACAATAATTTCAATGAATGGAAGCAGGAGATGACAAATTTCCTGTTTGCAAAGAATAAGATAGGATTGGTCGATGAATCAGTCAAGAAGCCGGAATCAACATCACCCATGTACATGGCTTGGATGCGAGTCGATGCCATGATCAAGGGATGGATGACAACAGCCATGGAGAAAGATATTTGAACCAGTGTTAGATATGCAAACACTTCAACCGAAATCTGTAAGGACCTAGAAGAAAGATTCGAGAAGGAGGGAGCACCACGTGCTTATGAGTTGAAACAATCTTTAAATGCCACCAGGTAAGACATATCTTCTGTTTCTTCTTACTACACGAAACTAAAGGCCGTATGGGACGAGTTGTAGCTTGTTCTTCCCATGCCCCGTTGCACGTGTGACAGATGTGACTGTGAATTGGGGAAAAGATTGAGTGAACTTAAAGAAAAGGAGAAGATTTATGTGTTTCTCATGGGACTTGATGATGATTTTTCTATCATCCGTACTCAAATACTTGCTATGAAGCCCGGCTCCGTCCTTGGGGGCAATATACCATCTAGTGGCTGAAGATGAGCAACAACGAGCAATTTCTGGAGGTCCAAGAAGAGTTGGTGGTGAAGCAGCGGCTTTTCAAGTGAATCTAATGGGGAAGAAAACCACACGAGGGCAAGGGACTCAACCAACTAGCAAGCCCACTCCAAAGACATTCAAGCAAAGCAATGAAAAGGCAGAAAAATGCACCTTTTGTGGGAAAGAGGGCCATAATAAGGATGGGTGTTCAAGAAGATAGGGTATCCGGATTGGTGGCACGGGAAGAAGGATAAACCCAAGCCGAAGGCAGCTTGCGTGGAGATGGGTCCTAGCCCTATACCGGGGTTAACCGACAAGCAATATCACCTCTTTGTCGGACACTTGAAAGGTGTAGTTACTCAATGAAACAAATCCGAAGGCTAACTTGGCAGGTAGAGAAAATTCTTACGATGGATGGGTCGTTGACTCGGGTGCTACCGAGCACATCACCCACGGGAGTGACCTTCTTGATAACAAAGTTACTTACGCGAAGGAGGCACCCGTCATCATTCCTAATGGTGACAAAATACCCATCATGGGGGAGGGTGAACATACCCTTCCAGGAGGCCTTAAGATTGATGGAGTCCTGCATGTTCCAAATTTCAATTATAATTTGTTGTCTGTGAATAAGCTTGCCAAGAACTTACATTGTGCAATAACCTTCTTTCCTGATTTCTTTGTGATGCAGAAGTTAGTGACAAGGGACTTGATTGGTGCGGGTAATTGCATTGGAGGATTATATCGAATGGGGGCAATGTAGAGGAAAGCTTTCGTTACTACCTTTGAGGTTTGGCACAAGAGGCTAGGTCATCCATCACCCAAGAAGATTTCTAGTTTAGGCTTTATTAAAAATGTTTCTAGAGATAGTCAAGCTGAAATGTGTGATGCTTGTTTTAAGGCTAAACACACAAGGCTTCCTTTTTCCCATTAGTGAAATAAATACTACAAATAGATTTGATCTTATACATTGTGATGTGTGGGGAAAATATATGTCACACCCCCGAACCAGACGGCGGAAACGTCCGAGGGCTCGTGTGACTTAAATTGAAATATCATCACAATGAATATACATGAAACATAACATAAACATCACCATGCATTAATACATTACAACTGACCTTGTTCATATCAAGTACATTGTTTACATTACAACATCACAGAACATAAATTGTTTAATGATTGACATTGCACAAAAGAAATTTCAGAAACACGCTTGATGATTCTTCATTCTAACGGTTACCTGAGAATACAAGTTATTTTGAAAACGGTCAAGATATATAATGTTGGTGAGTTCATAAGCATGTTTGATATAAAAATTTTGTATTGTTTGTACCCAAAAATCCGATATTTTCTGTTACGAAAAAGATGTGATGATCACATAAGTGTATATGTATGTGATTTCAAAACATGTAAAAGTGAATGCCTTTCATAATTGTTCCTTGTATTGTAGTTGTTGTATGTAGAAGTGAATAATGTCGTTCCCCGGAAAACCCGATGTTTTCCAATTTAAATAGTATGATAGTTTTGTATTATTGTATAAATCACTTTGCATCGTCACAGTGTATGAATATGATTTCCCATGAGTACTTAGATGGTAATGGATCTCTATGTGAGTCATTATAACCATGCATAATAGTGACTAATTCGTCTGTCTTGGCATTTTTCCAAACGCCGGTTTTGATCAAGATTTTGTCACCCTAGACTGGCCTAGTCTAACTGTAGCGAACAGCTCAGGTGTGGGGGAGTCACCCCCATATAGATCTATACACAAACTCTCGCTCTCCCTCCAAGAGACTCTGATTATAACTACAGGCTACGGCCGACACTTATTGGTGCCACCCGTTATTTCTCACTAAATCCCAATGAAATTGATTAACCTTGTTTTACAATCCGAATGATGTTTACGTGAATATGAAGTAAGCCTAACAGACATGAAAGAGGACAACGGTGGCCCACTAATCATGTATGTTATTATAGGTTGTCGAGTATGCTACAGACACGTTATAGCCCATTAAGCATATGATAAATGTTTAGGGCCATATTAGCAATGCAAATGGGCCACTAAGGCCCAATAGCATGTTAAAGCTGATAAAGGCCCATTGGGCATGTAATTGGGTCACCAAGGCCCAATAAACATGTTTTGATTATATTGGGCCCAACAATCGTATAATTGGGTCACAAAGGCCCAATAAGCACGAGTATGAAATATTGGGCCCAACCATTGAATCGTTTTTCTGTTTGTCGATATAAGATGTAGTATGGAAATTTGGTTTACACTTAGTGTTTACTTTCGATGTTAAAATACTCAATGTTGGTTTATAACTAGGGATGCAAGCGGTTCGGGCAATCCCCGCTATCCGTGGGGAACCGACCCTAACGGGGCGGGGATTACCCGTTTTAACGGGTAACGGGACGGGGATGGATCTTAAAATGATACCCGAAGTGGGGACGGGGCGGGTACGGATATATTACTATCCGCTCCGTTTAAAACCCGATAATATATATATATATATATATATATAATATATATATATATATATATATATATTGAAAATAAAGTTTGTAGCTATTCGAAGTATTGAAAACTGGAACAAGCTTAAAGCATTAAAATCGTTTGATGAAATTAGTTATTGCGCATTAATCATTTTCTATTATAAATTCGAAACAAGTTATTAATTGATAGATTTTTTCAATTTCCCCAAGTAATAAGTAAAAAAGAAGAAATTCAAACTCATCGATTTCCAATATATGCGATCAAAAGATTAAACCATTTGCAACTAATTTCATATTATATATAAAAAAGTTGTTTTTAAAATAATGGTAATAATTAACATGTCTTTAGGAACGTAAACATTGTACTTGTGGAAATAAACATAATATACTTCATGGGTCCCCATCGGGTTCCCCGTACCCGGCAGATTTTTTTTACCCGAACCCGTTGGAGATTAGTCGGGGCGGAGGCGGGGACGGGTGTGGGGTTCGGAGTTTGGGGACGGGGATGGGTATTGCAGTATCCGCAAATATCCGCCCCGTTAGCATCTCTATTTATAACGATATTCTTACTTTTTATAAAAATACTATTTTTAAACCTTCATGTTGTAAAAATTTATATCTTTGATCAACTTGTTTAGAAATTTACATATTTGGCCCAAAATGTTTATTTGACCATTTCAGTCCCTTTTCTACAAAATTTACTTTTCCAGTCCT